AAGGATTGGATAGTCGTCGAAGAAGTTTGCATGAGGGATCTCCAGCACGACGTTCAGTAAGAAGCTCAAGGCCCGAGCTATTCTTAAGAAGGCATAGACTGAAGCAGAGGCCCCAAAAACCAATGCTGAAGAAATGAAAAAGATTGGGCGGCCATCGGCATCACGCAGAAGCAGAACGCACAAGCTCCGATGTTGCTCACAGACTGCCATCTGTTTGTAAGCACCACTTAGATCAAGGCATCGGCCACTCCACTCTCTGGGAACGACTCCCGGCTTTCCCATCACGCGCTTTGCGATTTCCATGGCCAAAGAAATGCAGAAGTCGCCGTCCTGTAACTTTAGCTTCATGGTGCTGGTGAAAGTGCAGTTCAAGTCGGAATCGCAGGCATCGTCAATCGGTCTCAGTTTGCCTCCTTGTCGAACGCCAAACCTTCGCATCAAACTCCAATCTGTTCTCCCCAGATGCTCAGAAACTTCCGTTTCACTGCTGAAAGGCCCCTGAAGCCATCCAGCCTTCGCTTCGTCCATGGTCACCTTCAGCAGATCGCGTTCTAGCTCGGGATCGGAAGCCCGATTTTCCAAAAGTAGCGCTGCCCGTTTCAAGGGAGCGACTTGACGGAGCTCCGCTTCGGTAGACGTGGCAGGTTTCACTTTGACATCAAAGGCAGCAGGGCATTCGGACACACCCGACAACTTCACCCCCGACTTCAAAAGCTCGATTGCCTCCATGTCATCGAAATTGTGCTGTCGCAGCAAAGACTCCAGAAGTAGGATCCTCTTGCCTTGCATCACGGTCTGCATCCACGATGGCATCGCTGAGTGAAGTTTGCTTTCGTCTTGTTCCAACTTTTTGGAAAGGATCTCTGCTTTCATCAGTGCAAGTTTTCGACGAAGAAAGAGGGCTCGGCGATCAGCTACCATGTTGGCCTCAAGAGAAGCTTTCAGCTCCTTTGGGAGTTTGTTTTCGGAGTCAAGAGGGTGGCACACTTTCTTAGCAGCCTGGAACCATTCACAAGGATCCCTGTAGAAACCAACCTGGCAATCCTCACCCCTATCCAAACCAAGCCCCTCGCTGTCTGGGGAAGTCTCAGGAAGAGCCTCGGCGACCTCCCCCGAATCACCCCCTTGCACGGGAGGCGCGCCGAGGACCTTGCAACCGGATGAGGGAATTTGGCCGCGGGGCATGATGCGCACGAATTTATATTCGGAAACCAAGGGCTTATGCTTACGGGTTTGGCGTCCCACCGCGGAAAGAGACTGCAAGCGCGGGTCGGGGGCCTCGGTCGGGCCAGGGGAGACATGGCAAGCAGAAGCAAAGCATGCGGCCCAGCGAGCAGCCAACACAACAGGATACTGGGCCTCGAGGTGAGTGGACCACACCCAACCGCCAGCACGCCAGCTGACGCCCCAAGGTTCGTGCACATGACGGCCGCTGCAGCGGGCACGAAGGCTGCCAAAGGCAGCCCGGTTGCTGAGGAGCTTGGTGGACTTGGGACGAGCGCCACCGTGCTCACAAGCGTCGAAGATGATCTCATGCAAGTCACTGAACCAGCGGCGGACCTTGGGCGAAGCGTGCATTCGGACCTTCAAGGCCAGCACACTCCAGAACCACGAGTTCGAGGGGTTTTCAAGAGTGAAGACACAGTCGTGCTCAGCGCACCAAAGCAGGACATGAAAGACCAAGTCATAAAGACGATTGGCAGCGGCGAGGCGCAAACCATCAGGGCTGGCGGGGTCAATGTGAGGCAAGCCGAGGGGAAAGTCGGCGCTCCGAAGCGGCCGAGGGTCACGGAGGCCGAGGGCGCGTAACTTGGCCGGCAAGGGCCGCTCACGGGCCCGAGACGATGTGCCACAAGGGGGGCCTAGATGCACCGCGGCAGGCTTTTTGTCATGCAGCAAACGAAACAAGGCATCGCGGCCCATATCGGAAGCAAGGTCAAGGCGAACCGTGGGAACTTGAGGACGCCGGGGACAGTTATCAACAGCAACGGCCGTGAACCCGAGCCTCTGGGCGGCTCGAGCCAGGGTCGCGGACCCGGAGAAGACCTCGAGAAAGAGTTTGGGCGGGCCAAGGGTGGGCAAGGCGGATGAGGAGGGTAGGCGGAAGCCAATGTCACCCAGCCAGTCACGGTCGGCAAGGGGAAGCTTGGGACTATCCCGGGGGGTGAAGGCAATCAGCACAACCCTGCGGCCTTCCCAAGGCAAAACAGCATGGCGGTTCACGGCGGCATGAAGCAAGACTGGTCCGGCGGATACATCATGCAGACGCCCCCAAAAAGTGCCAGAAGCGTCTTCAAAGCGGTCAGCCCCTCCTTCGCATTCTTCCCAGATGTAGCCTTTGCGAAATCGGGTCAAGGGGATGACAAGGTTCCAGGAGGAGCGGTCATTGTTGCAGTCCACATGGAGTGGGCTTTGAACATCATCGAGCAAGACCAGGCTGGAAAAGGTGTGGTGAGGATTCACTTGGTGAACATAACGGCAAAAGAGAGCGGAGCTCTTTGGAAAAGACTTAGTATCTGTACGAATTCCGATCTGGGACCCGAACACCCAGGCACCGCAACCAAAGCTTCGGTGATGGAAGGCATCTCGTTTAGATGGATTTCTGGGCAAGAGGTCGAAAACTCGCAAAACATCAAAGGCTTCCAAGGTTGGCTTTCGAAGAAGTTGCTCGGCAAGGGCTTCGGGACCTAAGCCAACAGAGTTCGCCTCAAAAGGCACGGGCGTGACACAATGCGGGGAGAGCGGCGCAGGCTCCGGGGGAAGATCGGAGCCCCCCGCCCGGAGTCAAGACCCCTTTGTGCACAGATGGCCAGGGTGGTCGCCACCACACCCAGCCCTCCAACAGATGTGGAAACCACGGCCGCAACGGTTCTTGGAGTTAACTCGAAAGCGGCACCTTCCTTGGTTGAGGGCAAAACAGACAGGCTTGTCGTTCACGCGGCTGACACAGCCGTCGGGCACTGTGAACTCCTTGCGAACCTCACCCTTAGACGACTTGCCCTTCCCCTTACCTTTCCCTTTATCGCCCTTCTCACCGCCTTTGGGGTCATCCCATTTGCGCTTGCCTGGCCAGGGGGCAGAAGGAGGAGGAGTAGGGAGAGCGTTAAGGTACTGCAAAACCTCTTGCGACTCGGACAACAGCTTGATCTGGGTTTCCAAAGGCTTCTCACGGCCGGGCTCGCCGGCAAGTTTTCCAAGGAGCGCATGCGAAGCCAGCGTGAACAGGTGCCTGTCGGCAGCAATAAGTTGATGAGTGGTTACTTTGGAGTAACCACTGGGCACGGGCCTCATCAAGGCAAGGAAGCATTTGTGACACCACTCCTCAAGCACCTGAAAGCTGCACAAGCCGGCGAGATCATATGCCAGCGAGCGACGAGTCCAAGCGTTGCGCAGAGCTAAGTCAGTGTGCGTGTCACAAGTGGCAGATTCGGCTTTGCTCGCCATCTTCAAGTTCCCCTCGCCATCAACCACCACTTGCTGGTCTTTCTTCAACATCTGAGCTTCCTGGGCACGGCTGATGATGCGATAGGCTGGCAAGTACTGGAGGACTCCATCCTCGAGTTGTTTGACAAGAGTGTCCACAACGGAATGAGCTGGCAAGGTTTCAGGCGAAAGAATGAGGCCCGTGACACGCTTCTTCAAGGCCTCCTGGCGGGCCAAGCGCTCCGCATTGGGCATAGCACGAACCGCAGCTGTGTCAGCGGCAGGTTCCACGCGTGCCTTCATGTCAGCCACGCTTAGGTTCTGGGCTTCAAACATCAAACGTCTCACCTTAGAGGACTGATCAGGCGGGAAGTCATGTGGAAAAATGTTTCCCATCCATCGCTTCACATCGGCTTCATCCAATTGTGTCGGCGTGGTAGACACAGCAAAAGCCAAGGTTCCGAAGCTCTTGAATCCCGCATCGACAAGAGTGCGAATGGTGGACTCGCTGAGTTTGACCTTCTGGCAACGCTCCAAAAACCAGGCCTCGCTATCCACTGCAATCCCCGCCATGGCTCGACACCTAGCAAGTCGGGACGATCTCGCTCCTTGTCAGGTTGAAGCCTAAAGATCGACTTCGGACAAGTAAGATGGGTATTGCAACGCAGTCAAACGTGTCCGCAGTTTCCCCGAGCAGAAGCCCATGCTTTTATCATGACTGTGATTCCGAAGTGCTCTGACGGTGAACGAAGCCTCGGCTCTCACAGCTGGGTGATTCTCGATAAAGGCTTCGAGTCAGCTGGAGTAGGCTCAACTTGTTCTCCCCAAAGATCTCGACTTGCGTTCGAGTGGGAGCAACATCACCGATTGTCAGACTTCGGTGCGACGCCTGAGATTGGCCAGAAGGATGTACCGTCTGTGCTGTTCACAAGGACAGATGCACTCGTTTTCCTTCAAGATTTCGATCACTCTGCAGCCTCCAAAATGTGCCGGCATTGTTTACAGGGGTCAGGGTCCTCAAAATAGACCCCCGCTTCACGGAAAGGAATATGGTTCCTCGAGAGAGGTCGGCCACACCACAAGTTGGCTTGATCCTTCAAACAATGCGTTATGCCGGACACTGTGTGCACTACAAGAGAATCTTCAGAAACATTCGGCCCAAAAGGGGCCCTCTCTAAGCCTCCTCCACCGCGGCCTGGAGCCTCAGAAGCTTCAGAGCTCTGTGAAGACGGGGGGTCCTCGAACTCGTCAAAATCGTGTCGTGGCACAGGCGCCTCGGGTTCCGGAGCAATGACGTCCTGGGCGGCACCTGGTCGCTCCGCTGCAGCCACTTGCACCACCCGATCAACGTCAGACAAGTCAGGGTCATAGTCTCCCGCGCGGATGGCTTCGAACATCGCCATGACTCGCCCGTACAAAAGGGTGTACTGCTGCCGGGCGTAGGTCGCCGGTGATTTCTCCTTTGGAGCAATGTGGTGTCCAAGAAGGCGCTTTTCCGCTCCACTGAATTTTGGGCGAGGGCAGCGGCCCGCCCAAGATGTCAAAGTGGCCTTCAACGAATGCGTCGCCCTCTGCATGGCTTGGTCTTGATCGATTCCCTTCAAAATCAGAAAGTCCTGCAGGTAGCTGGTCGCCTCGACGCTCCCCATCTGAACAGAGCTCCAGCGGTTTTGGCTCTCGAGGCGTGACGGCAGCGCAAAGTTCTCAAGGGAGAGGCCTTCATGTTCACGAGCCTCCAGCCAAGCTTTCGCCCAATTGTTGCCAGACAACCCACAGCCGAGGGCTGCGTAGGGAAGCAGCCGGGTTTTTGCCTCCTTAGAGACAGTCGTCTTGGATGTCAAGCCTGATGCAACAACTAAGATCACGCCGTCGGACTCCTGAATTGAAATCTCCTTGAGGTTCTGAGAATCGCTCCATCTGTCAGCCGAATGCGCACAAAACAGCAGCTGTCCACAAATGCACGCAAGTACTGGTCCAGTTTCCACACAGAATGCTTCCAATGCCATCAACATGGGAACCGTCAGTTCAGGTTTCTGTTGCAGAGGACGCTTCATCAAATATAGGTCCCGGCTTATGCCAAGCACCCGGCTGGAGAGGACTGTTTCAGGCTCCATGTGCAGCAACTTGGCGACCCCGTGCACAAAGCGAAGGCCTTCCACAAAATGCGTCATGCTGGTCGGCCTGGCTCCTGAGTCACGCAAGAAATTTGCATACATGTATATGGTCGGCTCATCGACTGCAAGAGGGCTGTCTATGCTCTCTGTTGTGCACCAGGAAAAATACCTCAGGAGGGACCCACCTCGCTTTGAGATTGTCCTGGAAGCTTTAGTTCTGAAGGCATCCGAAAAAGACTTCTTGATGGCCTCCTCGTTTACATCTGCCCCGAGCAACGACAGCAAAGACCTTCCCAAGCTACTCACCTCTGGATCCCACAAGATGACCAGCCTCATCTTCTTAAGAGCAGCCGTTCGGATGTCTTCCTCCGACCGCTCCACTGTGATGCGTTTCAGGAACTTAACCGTCGTGGGTGGCACACACCTTCGTTTTGCTTCGTCATCGGATTCCTCTGGATCAAGAAAATCAATTGCACCAATAACTTGCAAAGGACTCGTTCCTCTCTCCCAGGAAAAACGCAAAGACGAAGATGTTTCCCATGAAAATCTCGGCCTGCTCTCAAAACGCTGTTGTGAAGTAGCCTCTACAGCTGCACGCTGGAAATCACCCAAGATTCGGTCATCTGGAAGAGGGACCAGAAGCGAAGAGTCATCGGATTCTTGAAAAGAATGGTTTGCCACACGCAAGGTGGCACTCAAGAAATCGTCTGTCTCCAAGTCACGACAGGCGTCATACCAAGCAGCTTCAGAAATTGAAGTAGGTGCACACGACGAAGGCGGTATGCGTGGGCCGAATACAGGCTCTCTGCCCTGAACCCAGCCTGGGTCGACCCAACCCTCTTCGTCCCCTGAAACCCCGGGCAAACCCTGAAAAGGCCTAGTGCAGTTGACCCAGTTGCGACTCTCCAAAGCCTCAGTATCTTCAAGGGCTCCCGACTCACCCCCTTGGAAAGAGCCCTGAAGAGAACGAACGAAAGACTGGGCTTGCTCATCAGCGGCACGCAAGTCACACTCGGTCTGGTCGACCACACCTGCGGGGCTGAACAAGAGCCAAGGGTCGAGATTGTCGGGTTCGGAGGAAGGATTCGACATGTTGCAAGCGGCACCTTAGTTGGACAGCTGAAGAAGAAGGCGAACACACGTATGCGGGCGGGGGCCGGTGCAGGCAAGAGCAAGCCAATGAGGAGGGTCGAGAAACAAAAGGATCCTGGATCCTTCTCTGGTACTGACCAACACACCACAGAAAGAGCTCTCGAGGACGTACGAAAAGAGACTGGGAGGAGCGTCTAGCTGACGCTGAAGTGAAGCAGTATGAAAGGACCGAGGCCGGATGCAAACCGCCTGGAAAACGGGGGCTGGCGGCACAACAGGCCAGTCCCAACTGAGAGAGCTGCTCGTAGAGCTTGACTCGCTGTCCATCCGCCGAGAGCTCACAGGCTCTCGGCTTGCACGACCCCTAAGGGGAGACCAATAGCACCTCGAACCTCTAGCACGGCACCCTTACAGGATTAGCGGAGGCTCAAAAGGAACAAAAATTTTCTCTCAGCCCGAGCTCGAGCAGCTGTGAACATGAACGGGCCAACTGTGGATTCAAGCATGCAGCAAGTCACATGGCTAAAAATAACGTTCATGATGCTGAGGAAAATTCGTTTAAAACTCGAAACACTTTCCGCAACTCAAAAAGGTCGCAAAAAGGATTATTAAAAACCCCGTGCTCGAAGGAAGAGCACTACAACTTTAGTTTGAGAGAGAAATGTCAGGCGAGCTGAAATTTTCCATCTGGTGCCTCTGGCTGTCCGTCAGCCCAAGCTTTGGTCCCTAACAACAACGCCTGCCGCTAGGCTTCCTCCTGGATGGGCTTGCACCACCCGGAGAAAAACAAAAACACCCTGCAGGTACAAACAAAGGAAGCACTCGGCAGGCCAAACACGGGTAACCCCAAACTGATGCAGGGAAATGCCCTAAACCTCATACGGTCGGCGTACTAGGATCCTCGTCCGTTCCTGCCACACCTCAGCGCGCTACCCTCCCCTCATCAACCTGTGAGGATCAACAGGGACCGGTTCTAACGTTTTCCTTTCGTGCGCTGTGTTTGCGAGAACCCCGTGTTGGGCCTGTGAGTACCCACAAGCACCTGAGCCCAAAAACCCGGTCAAGCGGTCTGCTGCACAGACCGAGCAAGGGGGCCGAACCGGTGTCAGGCTGAACATAAGCCGCGTCGAGGCGGCCTGTCCTGCAGGGTGTCCCTCGGACCAGCTGCGAACATAATCCGACGGATGGATCTGGGTACGTGCCGGGACTGAGCACTCGTCTGCTTGCATGCTTACAGCCTGCATCCTTATGCAATCATTTCACGATCCTATTCCATGCAATATTCTCTTGGTGCCCTGCTGGCACTCTCAGTCTGGAAAGCGGACTCACTGGGTCCGTCACTGGTTGAAAGGGGGAAGCTGCACCCGTATACTGGATTCCGAAGGGTGAGCATCTCTCCCTTGATTCTGGCAGGGCATACGCTCCTGCAATTTGGGTGGGTTGGGGCCGTATTAGGTCAGACCTCCCAGGGGATGTCTTCCAAGTCTTCAAAGCCACACACAAGCCAATCACTGCTGCATGCTTCTTCTGGGGAGTCTAGATCCTGATAACACCCTTCCTCAAGGAAGGTCCAGCCATGTGCGCTGGCTGCAGAAGACAGCGGCGCCAGCGAAGGCTCTACGGGCTCCGTACCTTGGGTGACCTAACTGACTCAAGTCAGCAAGGGAGGCATCGTCCAGCAACACCTGTCTCCTGACTGCTTGATCAAAGCTCGGCCAGCTCCACGTGCACTCCAGGAAGTTTTCAAGACAAAGGGCACAGTGGAGCTCGATGCGTCTTCCATCCTCTCCATACAAGATCGCTGGTTGCCTTTCCCCAGGACCAGGCACGAAGTTGAGGTTATGGGTTGGAATGCTACCACAGCCAGTGCAATTAAAGTTTAAAAGGCGAAGCCACTGCACGGGCGGGTCGCCTCCCGTTCCCCCGTGGAGCTCTGCTGGGTCTTCCATGCATCTCCATTGCCCACAAGGTCCGGCTCTTACTGTTTTGCCGGATTTGCTGGTGCGAACAAAATACACGCTGCTGTCCTCTGAGAGGAGCAGCCACTCTTTCCGGCCCTTGTGAAACCAGCGAAAGCAGAGTGCTTGGTGTAAAGTCCTGCCTTGGCTGGAACCACAATTGGCTCTATGGGCCCAAGTTCGCTCTGCACTTGCCAGGTTGCTCGAGCATCTTACCTGGTCTTCCAAGGCTGGAGAAACTCCACAGCCGGCTGTAAGAGGACTCGCATAAGGGAAGAGTTCCCCAAGCCGGGCTGCTTCGCCCTCCAGTCGGGCCGTGCCTTCTATCTGGCTCTCTGCATCGCAAGTTGGGTGAGATGACTCCAACCCATCACTTGCTGGCAGTGAGGATCGCGACTGCACAGGTGCT